TGCTACAAGTCATCTTATTCTGTACAACGATGATATCTTATAGTAAACTCTCCAGCAAAGTTAAAAAATATAAATCTTCTAACCAAGTCGGTAGAGTTGGACAACGATGACGGAGACTCGAGGACCCAATATGATTACACAACTATAAAACATAATGGGGAGAAGGTATGCATTGTTGAAGGGACGGCAAGGATGAAAAACATGTGAGGCTCAAAGATTACAACTTAAGAATCAACTTCACACATAAAACATCATGACATGATAATAATGACAATAATGTGACCTCTATCATCTCTAGTAAATATCTTCACTCTATAACAACAACTTTTATGTTAAAGAAGAAGAGTGCAATGTTTCCCCCTTTTGAAATTTCTTCAAGAACGAAAAAATGGTTAAACTTAGGAGTAGTGATGGGAGAAGGAAGGGTGACCACCTGGGAGCTTGTGTGTGGAGTGCTTGATTCTGTTTTTGATGCTACCTTTGCAGTTTAATCCTTTGATGTTCAAGAAAAACTACCCAGAAACTGAAATTGTAATATGTTGCCTCCCAGCCATGCTGTTTTCCAAGTCTGGAAAATATTTTGCAGTGTTGGAAGTGCAAAAAATGTGGACAGAAAATGGTTATTTCTAGGTATTTTCAATGTGTAGGGCGGTAGGTTAAGGATGCAGTCTTTTTCAAAGGAAGAAGGGAAGTATGGTATGTGAGAGGTAGACTGAAGTTGTGAAAAAATTTGTTTTGTTCTAGTTGTGTATGTCCTGGAAAATGAAGGAAAGATAATATATATATATATATATATATATGCGTAATGGTATTGTTGTAATTTCTGGTTGATGGCTTAGAGGGGTACAGGTGGGTTTAGGTGAGCCGTCAAATTTTTAGTGGCTCTCGGCACTACTGGCAGCTCTATAGCAGGGGCATCATGAATTGCCCAACGATTCTAGTGAAGTTTCGCTAGTTTTGGCAAAAAACTGGAAATTATATATTTCTGGCAATGCCTTCAGCCATACAAAATCCCATTTTTTGGGAGATGCTTTAGTGCAGCTAGCAAAAACAACACCTGCACAAGATTTGGTAGGTTCCCCAAGCTTCGTATGGCATTTTAGAAGATTTTGCAAGCAAACAATAATCTTTTGCAGCAGTTTCCAAAACTATGGAACTTGTGTAGCCACCCTTGTAGTAAATATGGCTACAAGTTGCTGATGGTGACCAAAATAACATCTTTGGTTAGTTTTTAACAGGATTTCTAGCCTTTGGTTAGCATCAAATGGTATTGTTTCGGGAATCAAGTTTACTTCTATGTCTTCGCTACGCAGTCCTTTCTAGCGAAGTAGGGCAACATTGTCAGCGCCAGGCTTTGCTGACGCAAATGCCTTGCTTCGTTGGCGTGAATGCCTTGCTTCGCCAAACGAGTAGTATTCACCCATCCGTGCTTGCCAAGCCACTATTCCCATAGTTTATTTCGAGTAACTCCCATGATTTTGGATTCATGAACTTGTGTTTATCTGCAGTAACAGCAAGGTACATGTGAATAATGTTCAAATATTTAAAAATAAGAAATATATAAACATATATAGCGAAGAAGGAAACTCCCTTGTGTGTTGAAAGGGACTCTGTGGATGAATATTCGCTGCTTTCATTTGTTTGCTGGCCATGGTCGACACCAGTATATTGCTGCTGTACATGGCTAGTGTTATACCAAAATAAGGAATAAGTGATATGGGTGTGTACTGCAATATTGTTGTCTTGAGTGAAGCTTCATTGACCGGCAATATCTGCTAACACGTAAGACATAGAAAATATGTGTTATGAGTCAGGATTACGAGCGACCAATAATTCTGTCCCTTTGCATAGAAGAATGATAATGTGCATTACCGTTGGTCATGTTATATATATATTGTGGGGTCAGCCATGAATAACTTCCCCATAGCCAGAGGAACAACAGTGGCTAGCTTTGCCCATGGTTGGAGTGTGAACTATGTGGAATAAAAAAAGCACTCTCATTAATTCGCTAAGTCACGAGGAGTAAATCTCATTAAACTAAACTTTGTCATAGCGATGAATATGTATAAAGAATGGTGGAGTTGTTTCCATGGAAGAGGGTGCTAGTTGCATCCATGACCTCTGATATAACAAGGTGTGATATTACGGACAAATGCTGGCCCTTCTTGTTGTACCCACACTGTCAGGGGGTGGTTCTGGTTGTTGCTGCCCGTCGGACATCACACCACCATGCACGGGTGACCACCAAGGGACCATCGACCACTACTTGATGGATTTTTATCATCGAAAGGTTGCCATCCTGTTCAATTGCAAGGTTGCAACTATTATCGGCTTTACGTTAATTATATCAAGTTGCGCTGACTCTTTGTCTATTTCCAGGAGCCAGTGAAATAGATTATGTAAAAATCTGACCCTTTGTCCATTGCCGGGAGCCGATGTAATGACATGTGAAAATGTGTAGCCTTTTACCCATCGCTAAAGACTAAATGAGCTAGCAAATTTGGTTCTTTGTCTATCATTTGGAGCTATGAGATATAGCAGTAAATATTGCTGCAAAGGACTTGACCATCAAGAAATGCCCAACCATGTCATCGAAATAGATCTAACCATGTTTGGCCATGGAAATAGGCACCGAAGTAAACTGCATTCTGCGATTTTTCCAACGAAGTGAATAAATATCGTTTTTGACAATACTGATTCCATTGCAGCAATTAGTAGAAAATAAAAATTGCACGTCCAATGTGAAAAATAAACATTTTAGGCCTTTGTTGATGCAAGTCCAATGTGAAAAATAAACATTTTAGGCCTTTGTTGATGCAAACCCACACACATCATTAGTTACGCAGCCATATAAATTCATTTCTCAACAATTATACAATCACTTTTTATTGAAATTAAGTGCATTTCTTTTCCCACTAGGAAGAGATGGTAAAAACATTTTAAAAATTTTTTTTAAAATAGTATATCTTTAATTCTATGATTTTCATATTATTAATAAATTTTTCCATATTATAATTTAAAGTGTACTTAATTGTAATAAAGACTATTAGATAAAATGACAATTTCTTATATAAGAGATTCCCTGTTTCAAACTGCACAATACTCTTTTTTTTAAATAATAGTTAAAAATGCAAAAGAAAGAGAAAAGTCTTTGGAGGCTTAAAAAGGAGCCTAGCTAGTAAAATTTCTAAATCAGAAGGAACAAATTCATTCAATCTGAACAACCAAATCCAAAGATCATGTGATTCTTTTTGGTTTATACTATTTGGGATTCCATTGACCTTTCTTAGATTTGGCCTTCCTTGGGTTCATTCACACTTGCAAGATAAACAAGACTCTTCGGAAGTTCCGCCTCATCTGGGCTATTTCTCAACCTTGTAATCTCTGTCTTGCTTTATTCTAGGAAAATATGGCACACCTTCAAAGTTGCAACTGGGATCGAACTATCCTGCTTGGAATTTGACACTACCTGTTAACATTACCCTACTCCTAACAGAAAGTCCTGATGAATAAACAAGCAAGACACAGATTACAAGTGGGCATAAAATAATCATATTCAACAAAATGGTATGTCAATAAAAGATAAGATAATGATAGACATGCTATGTCATTTACAAGGGAATGAACGTAAACCACAATAATTGGGATTGCATGCATCATTTAACAGCTTCAATTACTTCTGATCCATCTTGGATTAAACAATTTCCTGTCCATCAGGGATTCCTTCATATTGTTCACTTTATCCCTACCTATACTAGAATGTATGCCCAGAATCAGAATAAGCACATAAAATCTACTTTCCAGAGAGGTTTAAGAGATTAGTGGAAGTCTCCAACATGCGACTCAAAAAAGCTGCACATATCACTTGACTGGCATCCCCATTAAAAAACAAGAAGTATTTAGGATAGCATGTACCAGTTTCTTCTTGAGCATAATTAACTAATGCTAAGGAACTTTAACAATAAGTATGACTATCCACCTTTTACCTAAATAAATTGATGCAAGTTCTTCAAATGCACTGAAATTTAATCTCAAACCATCATTTATTTGAGCTTGGGAAAGTTTTCCCAGACTTTCCATTTCCTTACTAATAGTCCACTTAATTCTAAATGCTACCCAGATGGTAGTCAAATTTGCACAATAGCCTCAAGACTTTTCAAAATATGTGATAATAAATTATTTGTAAATATATATATATATATAATGGAAAAGAATGGGAAAGGTGATCACAAACCTAAGTTTGCTCTCTACACTATTTCCCTAAAGATCTCAGACTCCAAATCTTTTACAAATCAAGTTGATTACAAGTAGAGAGAGAAAACAGAAAAAAAAAAAAAAGAAAAAGAATTATGGTTAAGGGAGGGTGGATGGAAGGGAAGCCATTAGACAAAGCAAAGCAATGGGCATCTAATCAGTGCATAAACAAGAATTATCATAAAGAGGCAGGGGAACAGAAGCTTACCATCTTATTTTGTTTGCGATGGAGGAAACTTAAAACATATGTACAATTGCATTCAATGTTGAGTTTCAACTTCAAAGTCATTCTCTGGGGCTAGGGAATTGTTATGCTGGAGAGATTCCAGGCTGGAACAAAATTAACACACACACAAAAAAAAAAAGGAACTCATTTTAGGTGAAAAGCTTCAGATAATAACATGCGCTGCATACCATGATAATTTACTAAAAACAGTACACAGCTTAGATTTTGTCATAAATATTAAAGGTTGAGTTGAATCTACCTGCATTTCTGGGGAACCCTCCATGATATAAATGATTTGTTCTTCAAATCTAGTGGTAATGAAATAAAAGCCCTCCAGTCTTGAAGCATAACTCTTAGGTCATTAAGCTTGTTATCCAAGCCAGCACAACAATTTACATGCATTGTACAAACTAAATTCAAGTCTTTGCTAGCTTCACAAAGCCCACCAAAGAAAGCAGTATCTAAAAATTTTATCTTAATTCCAATTTGCAAGATGAAAGGATCTAACTTGATAAAATTAAGTACATCCTGATCATGATACCCTGGATAAGTTTCACGAGAAGAGTACCAAAATTTGTAAAATTCTATTGACCGGTTGTTGGACTTCACATAGTTAAATCCTCCATTGGGGCTGTTCTGCAGATCATCAGGGTTGCCCAGAAAATAATCACATGCAATCTGGAAATCAGCATCCAAATAAAAACGCGGAAATGGATCCCTGAACCACATGATATCAGCATCCTGAATAACAAAACCAACCAAAACAGATTTGATATGCAGACAAGTATTTTCAACAAGACTCAATTAGTTGGAATAATTAAAACATATATCAAGAAACTAATTTCCATATCACCCACAAATTCCATCCTTGCATAAAGATTAAGGACAATGCTGTCTTAGATCGCAATTAGTCAAAAATTCCAATTAACTTAGATCACAAATAGTAAAAAAATGCTGTCTCAGTTACAAACTAAGAAGTATTAATTTCAATCTTTTAGCAGTCAATGAACAAAGAGAAAAAGAACCATTTAGTTATATGCATGCTGGGGGAACAAAAACAAAAGAGCACCAGCTCTCACATATAAAGAATTCAAATGATGAAACAAAGCTTTCCCAGGTATGATATAGCTTAGGACAGGAAGTAAACAAGTCAGTTACCGTGAAAACAAAATCGTATCCCATTTCGAGGATGGACAGCAGAAATTCAATCCTTCTCCACATCATCTTCAAGTAGGCTTGAGTCATAAAGTATGCTTCCTGATGAAAATCGACTCCTTTAGTCACAAGAGCAAAGCAATGTCTATGCACAACAAGACAGCGTTCAAATGCCTTTTGATCCAAGGCAATGATGACTAAGTGGTTCAAGAGTCTCTCAGTGCCATTACCAAGCCTAAAACTTTTTAGGAAAAGGTCTATGACAGAATTCGGAGCGGCCCATGCTTGGTTCAAAGTTGTTAAAATCACAGTGGTATTGTCCATGGCAGCTTCCTTCAAGATTCTTTCAAGTTGTGCTGGCTCCTTCGGCTACAATGATTTCAGTCGAAGATCAAGAAATTCTGTAAATAAACACTAATTCATCCAAATCCACACTGTTTATAACCATATTCTTTACCAGAAAATAAAATTTCGGTATCAACGATTGAAAATTAGAAGAACTCTTTCCATCACAGAAAGGAAAGCGGAAACTAGACTTACCAAAGACACAGCTTCACTGTCATCGACGGTGGAAGGGGAATTGCTAAGAAAAGAGGAGGAAGAGAAGGAAGCGGAGGATAGACGGAGGAAGGAGAGGGAATTGGTGGAGGCGTAAAGGAGGAAGCCGGAGAAGGCGAGGAAGGCTAAGATGAGAGCGGCGCGGGGGAGGAGCGTGGTGGAGGATTCGGGGAGCATTGTAGCAGCAGAAACGGCGGAGGAGGAGGTGACAAACGGACTTGAGACGGAGGAGGAAGAAGCAGCAGCAGCAGCAGAAGGAGAGCGCCTCTTTGGGAATCTCGACGTCGGAGAATGCGGGATTGTCATCCAACGGCGAAACGGCATGCTAATATTTAAAACGGACGGACGGATCAGTCGGTTTCGGTCTTCCGATAACGAAAGGGACGGCGAAGGGCTGCTTTTATGGTCGTCACTCTGGGCACACAAATAATGTTCAAGCCGTACAAAAATAATAGGTTAAAGCCAACTATAGTCCTTTTACTTTCAATTTTCGTTCATTGTACTTCCTATACTTACTATCGTCCAAAGTACTCCTTGTACTTCCCTAAACCATTGTTCCCTGTACTCCAAGTTTCCATAACATCTACCTCTTTACTCTCACACATTTGGTAATTTCTCTTTAATAGTGGTTATTTGGAGTTACATGGTATACCAATTTTAAACTAATGATTAATAATTTTATTTAATTTAGTAAATAAAAGTGTTTAAAATAATAATAATAATTAATTAATTATTAGATTAGATGAACCTATTAATTATTAATTTTAAACCAAACAATCCTAACCAATTGTAATAATTAATATTTTTTTATTGGATTTCAATATGGAACTCACAATGCCACATCGACCACTTATGGGTCCCTTTAATTTGAATTGGTCTATTTTACAATTCAAATTATTTCATATTATAAAACAAAAACCCTTAGATGGGGAACAAACTTAATATAAAGAGACCTCATCTCTTATTGAAGTTATTGTTTTACAACCTAAAATAGTTCAAACTATAAAATAATTTTTTAAAGTTAAATAAACTTGAAGTTAATAAAAGTTCAAGGGTTATTTTAGCTATTTTTTAATA